GCAGATGTCGTTCAAGGTCAGTGGCAAAACAGGGTGTCCTACCACAAGTTTGTCTGATGGAAGCATTGAGAAAATTTGGGACATTCTGAAAACCATCTGTCATTCAGAACTATTGCAGAAGAGCTGAACATCTCTAAATCACATGCATTGTCTGTCCAAATGTGTAACATTTTCTAAAATGTTTTGATAAAAGGTAAAGTGTGTGTAAAGTTTATCCCATACTGCTTGACTCCTGAGCCAAAACAAGCAACACATGAACCCTTGCCACACCTTAACTGAAATATAAAGTGCGACAGTTCTGTTCTCGAAAAAACTGTCATTTGCGATGAGACCTAGTGTTATTGGTATGAATTGCAACAAAACGACAAATGGTCAGTGGTGGTTTGCCAAGACCAAAGTGAATGGTAAAACTGAAAGTGAAGTTTTTTTAGAAACAAATTTTGGTTTTTAAAAGTCTTTAATTTGCTCGTTGCTTTTCTTGACACTCACGGCATTATCCACAGAGAATTTGGTCCCATCAGCAGGACTGTAAATGATGCTAAGTGATTTATATGATATATTATATTTCTAAGAATCGACTTACGAAGTCGGCTGTGATGTCAAACTAATTCAAGCCACAGTGACATGTAAATTGAATAACATCCAAAACAAGGATTTTTCTGACAGTTTCATATGGTGGTTCTGTGCATTGTACTTAAGACTGTAAAACTGGAGGAGGAAGTAAAGTGGAGGAAGACTGTAAAACCTGAAGCATTAAAATCTTCATCTTAAATTTTCTTTAGTTTTTGTTTATTCAGCCTGGGAACATTTTGAACAGACAGTATAGGCTAATAATATACATACTCATTTGAGGTGAAAAATACATTCCTAATATTTTTTTTTTTTTTTTTTTTTTTCCATACTCAGAATTGCACTTATGGTATCTTATTGTGAACAAGTGTTGACTTCCTATTTTGGGTGTTTTTATCTTGTTCTGCAAAGTTTTTTCATCTGAAATCCTATTTACATTTGAAAGTAGCATGTTCCTGTCTTGATTAATAACCTTCGCTGTGGGATTTAATGAACTTGCTAAAATGTATTTTGAAGTTATTTGCCATGATTCTGTAAATTTATATTTTTCTTTAGTTTTTATTCAGTTCTTATTGTCTATTAAAGTTAACTAGTTCATTTTTTCTAAAATTTGGAAATTGCTAATATGAGTAGAATTTAACTTTATGAATTGTGATTTGTTATTTTTGTCAAATTGAGATTTAATAAAATGTAAATGAATCCTAGTGTTTGGAACAAAACCAATTGCATCACAGATATGATTCATAGTTGACAGTGATTTATTTTAATTTTAAATAAGAGTTTGGAAGTGAATTTTAATCTTCATTATTGTAACAGTTACTGTGCTCGATTCATCTGACTGAAATTTGTAGTCTGTTCAAGATCTTTCAAGTGGGAAAGGTTTTCTATTTCTGAAAAATCCCCCACTCCCCCCCCAAAAAAATTCATTGTTCTGTTGCATGAAAAGCATTTCACTATTTATGATTTCAATAATAATAATAATAATATTTAGCCTGAAGTTGTTATAACAGGTGTGTATGCTTTCATTGGAAAAAATGTAAAGTTCATCAATGAAAAGATTTTAAAGAATTGATCAGTTTTTCCTTTTTAAAATTTAAAAGATTCATCAGTGAAAATTTAAAATTTAACAAATGCTCAACAAGGGGAATTAGTGTGCTGTAAAACGTTTCAACATAATGAGTAATTAAATTTCTTTTTTAAGCTCCTGACCTGAGTGAAGAAGAAAAGTTGTTACTAATGAGGAGTGAAAGTTTTCAAAGCTTTTTAGACAGAGCTTCACGGATTATTGAAAGAGCAATATGTGAAGAAGTTGACATTTTTATTGATTACACTGGTGGTAAAGAAGAATTGGAAAGGTCAGTATGGAATTGCAAAAGCATATATATTTACTATAGTCTTTTCTATTTTATGCGTTGTAATCATGAGATTTAGCAGTAATTGACAGTTTTGCTTGTTATCATTTTGTATGTATCTAAAATATGCTAAATTAATTATACAAGGTTTGTATGGTCCTTAAAAGTCAGTAAGTTTTTTTTGGAAAAAAATTTTCGTTTTTAAAAGTCTTTAATTTTGGTCAAAATCTGCTAAAGATCCTTAATTTTACTTATTTGACACTTGTGTCTGTTTTTTATGTGTGCTATTTAGAGTGTGAATCAGTATTTTGGAAGCATATTTTTGGGAATTATGTATTTGATAGGCTATAATTTGAATTCATTCCTACTTCTAATATTAATGGTACAATGATCGAGTTTTGACATGAGGCCTTGCCTTGAATGTAACACAATTGAAACATAAGCATTTTGAAATTCTTTCTTTTTTTACAAATGAAGCGTTCATAAAATATTGCATCAAAGATGACTTGATGATTTGGGAAATGTGAATTCTTTTATTATGTGATGCCTAAATTTAGTGATCTATCAACATTTTAGCTATTTTAAAATCAGTCTGTGTACAAAATTTTTTATTCACAGATTTATAAATTTTTTGTTGACGTTTTATCAACATAATTATATAATACAAAGTCCAAGAACCGGACTTGTCGGGACTTTGGCGATTCCGGATTTGGGATTTTTCCAGATATTAGATCATCAATTTAAAGCTAGTAAGATGGCATGTAGAAATTATAAAATTAAAAATATGAAATCATGATTTATGAATAATGAAGCATATATATAAAAGGGTATCAAAATTTGCAAAAAAAGCTAATTTATTTGTTTACTTTATTAAACATTTCTTAATATAATTGTTTAAGTGCTCATTCTTATACTAATATTTTCTCTTCAATTCTATAGACAGACATGATTTCTTGTTCAGTTACAAAGTTCCACTAAGTCCTGCAGTTACTGTGTCGAGAATTCCAACTAGTGAATCAACATTTTTTTCCTTTTCAATAACCTCTCTGTCACTTTCTTCACTATCGGGAGTAGTATTTTTGGATCTAGAGTCATATTTCAGATTTCGTAGTCCATTGATTGATGATTGGAGCATTGTCATCGCATTTCAAAACTTCTCTTATATCATATCATCATCACCGCTTCTCCACATTTCTTTACAAAATCCAAAATTTCACTTGTGATTTGCGATATCCAAAAGCCTTCAAATTAGCGGCTATCATCTTCATCATCCTCACCATGAAATAAGGTAGCTAGTCATAAATTATACCAAGCATTTTTTAAAGTATCTGGAGGCACATCCTCCCACGATCTTGCGATGCTCCACACAGTGTATTTTATGTAAAAATATTTCAAAAATTCTTGAATAGTCGGGCCATGTTCAAGAAATTTAACATGGATTTTTAAAATGCTGCTTTATGTTTGCATTTCAGCACGCACACTATTCTGATATCCATAGGCTGAATGATGGACGTACAGTTTGGAAAAAAGAAAGCACAGATACATTACCTTTCATTAAAATTTTAAGTGAGGTACAAGCTGAAGGGTTATCTATAATCAGGACAGTTTTTGCGTCATCAGGTAAACCAACCTAATTAAAATTTTGCTGAGCCTCGAGTATGAACTGATTTTCAAACCAATCATACATTAACGATTGTGTCGTCTGTGCTCTTTTTATTTGCATGATATATAAGGGGAAAATCTTTTCTCCTTTAAATGCCCAAGGTTGTGTATTTTTTTTCCTATTACAAAAAGTTTACACTTGTGTGTTCCTGTAGCATTTGCATATGCTAAGTTTGTTTCTCTAGCTTTGGAATCTTTTACACCAGTTGGAGCCTTTTCTGTAGAGGTTGCCAAGGTATTTTTGCGGTACATATTGCCAGAAGAGTCTAGTTTCATAAGTGTTTTAAATTTTTCCTGTAGATAGCGTCTCACTATTAATGAGTTCAATGAATTTATCTGCAAATAGTTCAGCAGCTTCAGTATCAGCTTAATTTTTGATTGCATTATACCGTGGTGATTTTAAAGTTTGCTTAACCTATCTGTCGAATATATGCACTCAGTTTTTAAATTCATTTCATCTGGAAATATTTTTGCTTGAGCCATTAGCATTGGACTCATCAATGGCACACCCTCGCTGCTTCTGTGTCTTTTCATTCAATCATCTGTTTGTCATGATCGTAACATTTGGCATATTAAATAATTTTTCTGTTATTCATCACGAGTGGAATGTCAGAATCCACAAAAAATTAATAAAGTTCCTTTTTCGGTCATGTCATATACAGTTGACTTTCCACTGCCATACTCCTCGCATAATTTGGAGAGGGATATACCAATATCCATTTTTTGCAGTAATTCCACTTTTTGTTTAATGGACATTGAAACATGCTTTCACTTTGTAGATCCTCTTGCAGCTTCAGAATTAGAAACTCTTTTCAACATAATAGAAAATTCATATTTTAGTTTTCATAAAATTGTTGTACTTATAACAGCCTACAAAAAATAATCAGCTGAATCAAATCAGAAAGTTAAGGAACAGCGCAATCTGCTATATTAACTGAAATTTTTTTGTATCGGTGAGGTGTAACTTTAGCCTAGCTTAACAGCGTTCGCTGTTACATAATTGGTTATGTAGCATGAGATTGGCGACGTAAGACAAAATATTCCGTTAAATTTTTTGTCTTGCTTCTATTGCATGCTGAAACAATTATGCCTGAATTGTATTAATTTAATTATTTATTATACTTAATTTAATTCTTGCACATGCTTAAGGCTTATCTGAGTCATGAATAAATAAATTCTCACATATACTTAAGCTTACAGGGCCAGCGCTAGATATTTTGCCGACTGATACAGTCTCTGTGGGCCATTAATTCTGCTACTAGGCACCTTCCTAAGTTCTAAATTTTTCCTGCCCCTTAATTTTCGGTCCTAATGCTTTCTCTAAATTCTAAAAAATTTGTCTTCCCTAAATTCTGCTGCCCAGTGAGGCCATGCGAGCTCTGGTGCCGGTTCTGGGTTTATGTGAATAAAAAGTTAGTTAACAGCATTAAAGGTAATCTTTTGGCCTATAAGCATCATTAACAAAATCTATTTTTAACAGAGAAAAAGAAATTTTTGTTACATTTTTTCTCGTCAACATTTACCACGTTATATATTTAAAAAAAAATTTTTTTTTAGACTTCGCTGAGTCATTACTCAAGTTGTCATGTGTTGACAAACATGCCTGGATGACAGCAAAATACAGTAAGTATAATAAATAATGATTCACCAGCTTGGCGCCAGGGATATAAAATATTAGTAGTTGTAAAATCATTGTTTCTTCATTAACGAGATATTTTATTTAGTGCCGAAGTGAAATTAAGAATCGGGATTCTCCACATGTCTCCAGTGAAATTTAGAACATACAAGCAGTGTGCATTTTGTAGCACAAGGAAGAAACCTTATAGAACAAGATACAGATGCGAATATGGGTCTATGCATGTACCAATGTGGGTCTATGCACGTACCAAAAAGACAAAACATACTTTGAACAGTGTCACAAAAAAATGTGTTCTTAGAAATTTAAAAAAAAAAAAAACAACACTTTTTTTTATCTTGACTTTACCGAGTTTTTTAATCCATTTATCCGAATGTCCTTATTATGTAGGTACTTATATTTTCACTGCTATAGAAAAATGACATAAATGTTAATTTTTTCTGACAATTTTGTATAATAATGTAAAAAATTTACGTATAATGCAATTCTTACATACATTTTTTTTAAATTCGTAAGTTTCGTTATTTATTGGAAACGCACACAGAAAAAGGTAAGTTTTTTCCCCCTACTACTTCAGTAAGTTTCAAATTCCTAGACGCGCGCTGGTTTCACAGTGCGACCACCACCTACAAAACAATGGTTAAGAGAAGATTTTTTAAAATTCTTATTACTTGTTTCTAGGATTATAATATTCAATTTCTAGAGTTTTTAGTTTAAAAAAATTATAAAAATAATATACCACGCATCAAAGGGTTAAGTTAATTTTGTTGCTCTAAATTCTAAAAATTTTGCCTTCCTTAAACCCCTATCACATATGTTTCTGCTATGCGGGACTGGATGTCGAAAGGGACATTTTGAAGAACCCGCATTTCTACAAAAACCTGCATAGCTCTGTTACCATTTTCCCTTGCTAAACATTTGCTGTTACCATTTTCCCTTGCTACCATTTTCCCTTGCTAAAATTTGAACACCAAACAGTAATCAATTATCTCTCAGATTGGTGAAAGAGACATTTGTTTTCAAATTCTATGCTGTATCGTTGTTATGGAAGCATTTCAGTATTTTCTTTTTGACATTTTAAACTTGTTTGTTATTATGGAAGATTAAATGTAATATGAGTGAAATACATATGAGTATTACCATGTTTCAACACTTTCATAAATACTATACTATATCAAAATAGCACATATTCTAAATTTTATAACTTCTTTCTTGTTTGTTTTATTGCTTAGAGAATACTTAAAATGTTTATAGCAAAATCTTTTGGTTTAAAGCATTCGGTTAATAATGATGAGTTATTTAAAATTAGATTGTTTGTTGTTAAAACTCCTAAAGCACTTGTTGATTTTGTAACACTTTTCTAAATCTATTTTACTTGCTATATTCTTACATTATATTCATATTTATGCTATAATGTAACCTAGTAAAAAATAAACTCAGAATGGTCAATCAATTTTCTAAGCCACTTCTCAAATAGTAAATATGCATATAAAATATATAATTAATGCTAACAGAAAGTGAGACTGAACTAGATAATCAGTTTTTGTAATTTTTCTATTGCAATTGGTAGATAAAAATTATCCAGTTGAAATATGTTTTCCAAATGTCATTAGTGACTTTGAACATTTTGTATTCCTCAAAATAAAAACATGAAATGCAATATTATTTACTTACTGAACTCTTTTTTTTCTTTCTATTAATGTAATGTGTATCATAATTATACACAAAATAAACTTTTATAGACTAACAGTGACATTACTCATTGAATTCTTATTTTTCTATTCATGTGCATAATTAAGTGTAAAATAAATATATAGAAATAGAAGCCAGTTTTATTTACACAATGAAAAAAAATTTAAAAAGTCATCTATGACAAAAACTTTGACCTGAGGATCAATTGCTGTATTTTAAATTTTTGCTCCTCTCTTTTGTGCAAGTCTGTAATATATAGAAGGAAGAAAGCTACATATTTTCAAAGCCGGACTACAGTATTATTTCCCCTTTTCCTGCATGTTTAAAAATGCAGTAGAAGCAGAAGAAATTAAGTCCTGAAATCGCTATCCTCTCTTTTACCTATGTATTTCGTCAATAAAATCAGCTTCTTTTTCTACCATCCACAATTTTACTACTCCAGCCATCACCAAATTGGAAATTGCCCGTGATCCTTCAGAAACAGAACTTCTGTCTGATTAGTTGATCTCTGCAGAGCTGCAGATGAAACATTTTCGGCGAAGTTTCAGAAAATCCCACATAGCCAGTACATTGTTTTTGTAGCTAAGTGAGACTTCTCTTCCACCGGAGCTGTTTCGTTTCTTTTAGGAATCCTCCCATTTAAACCAATGCTACTAGAATCTCATTTCTCAGAAAAGTCCCGGCTAGCAGGGACTGTAGCTAGATGTGATAACCTCTTTAAATTCTACCACACTAGCTCTGGTGGCAGTTCAAAGCATATCTGAATAACAAATCAGTTATTCTCAAATCAAACAGTACTAAATGTAATCTTTTTGCCTTTATTATTTACCAAAAAAAAAAAAAAAAATCCTATTAAAATCATTACCAAGCATAATGTTAACATAAAAGGCTACCATATTCTTTGAAATTTTGGAATTCAATCCTGAATATTTAAAAAAAAATTTAAAAAAAAAAAAAAAGTGTTTTAGATGTTGCTGCCCGAGTTCTTTCTCAAGCTGCCACGTTGTGAGAGTCATGCAGTGATGAAAGCAAAATATACAAACAATAATGATAAATATGTAGTACAGTCAAAAGTCTTTATTTCGGATACCAATAATCCGGAATGATCTATAATCCGGACCTCAAAGCTACAACTTCTGCACTGCGCGAACCTGTCGGCTGCGATATGCGTGTGCCAAAATCATTATGAATGCACGTTAATGTATAACGGACGGATAAGCTAAGCTAAAATTACCTTTCAGTTAATGTTAATTGCGTTGTTCGTAATCTTCGAATTGGATCGGCTTATTATTTTTTGCAGACTGTTAGAGGCAATTTTATAAAAGTAAGCTTGAACTTCGATTATGTCAATAGAATTTCTGATATATTTTACTAATATGTAAAGGATCTACAAGCGAAATCTTTCGAAGTCCATTAAACAAAAAGTGGAATTGCTGCAAAATGGCTAAAGGCATACCTTTTGTTTATCTAAACTTTGTTTATCTTTAATGCTGCAGCGTGCAATGAATTGGAAGTTGATCTGTCAGCACTATCCTATCTTCAGGGCAGATGTTTTTTTTATTTGGCTTATAATTTCCTTACTAATGTAGTATCTCTCTCCGTCTTTATATTTTAAATCAAATTCCCGTCGTATATTCACTTCCATAGCGAAGAAAGACACAAGTTTGAAAACGAAAATTTCGATTGACAAATTAGTCGGTATTCTCGACACAGCAATTATAGGACTTGAAAGAGCGACCTTTGTAACTGAACAAGAAATTGTGTCTGTTTATGAATTAAAGAGAATATTCACATAAAAACGAAGCACAAACAATTACATTGAAAAAATGTTTAATAAAGTAACAATAAATTTTTTTTTTTGTAAATTTTAACCCTTTGATTATATTGTTCTTTAATTTCTAAATTACGGTTTCTATTTTAATTTTATAATTTCTGCATCTCTTACGATTTACTGATGATCTATAATCGAAATCATAATCCGGAACGCGAATCCCGAGAGTCCGTATTAACGACTTTTGACTGTAAATATAAATATGAGCACCTGTTAGCAATAGGGAATTAATTATTCAATGTTTATTTTCATGATGTAATCAGGATTTTCAGAGTTTTATTTGAAGTACAATGTAACTGTAAATCTGTCGCCCTCCAAAAAATTATTGTGGTACGGAGTTGGATATTGGATGTCTGATTTCAACTTGTACGAATGCTTTCATTTTCCAGTTTCTACTATTTATATATCCTTGAAATCGTTTTGGATTTTTCATTTATTGTCCTTAAAAGTACATAATTTCTGTGTACATAAATGTGTACAAACTATGATTATAGGCTGTTCCTTTTTAATTTTATATATAATGATTCAATTACAGGTATGATTTTAATGTAATTCTGATATAGCCAAATCAGTCTGTAATGCAGGTGGCAGAGTTGTAATTTGCTACTTCCAGTATTCTATCAGCAAACCCAGAAGGAAAAAAAAAATTGCTGTTCATTACTGCATTACTTTTTTATTCCTTTATCTAATATTGCCTTGCATATACCAAATTCATATTAAGTGTTTTATTTCCAGTGATGATCGAAGTGGCATGTCATTATCATTGAACCGTTGTTTTCTGGATGATCACTGGTCAAAAAATCGAACTGTGACTTCTTTTGATTGGTCTACCCAGGTATGCTATATATATTATTGTTTTTTGTTATTAACCAATTAATGTTTATAATGAACATCCACTGATTCCAATATTTTGTTACCTTTATCTAAAGTTCTTTGAAACAAAAGTATTTTCTGTAAATATTAATTGAATGGAACATTTTTTTAAACATATACAATCTCCCCTTGCATCAAAAATGTACAAAATGAAGCTTACAAAAGTAAGTTAACTAAAACATTAAATATTTCATGCTTAAATAAACAAAAATAGAAAACAGCAGTCTAGATTTCACAAAAACAGATAAGATCACAGGCTAAGGCACCTCAAGCTTTTTCAAATGATTCTACAAGCATGATTAAGGCCATCAAAAGTAGGGCAGGTAAAAATTAAATGTTCCATATCTGGAGGTGCTCTTTTGAATACTCGCATAAATTATTTGATCTTAGATTGAAATGAAACTGGTAACCTGCAAATTTATTGGGACTAGATAAAAACTGAGATATTTTTTAATTAATAAAGAGGAGGGATTCAGAATGCAGTCTGTGGTAAATAGAAGAAAGAACTTTCTGTTTCCTGAGCACTACAGTATGAAATACATTCCTCATTCCACTTAGGTGAAAGCTTTTTATAATAAAAAGATTTCCAATAACTCTTTGGAATGCTAATATTGATAACAATATGTAAATGTAAAGTATCTTTAGCTAAGGAATCAGCTCTTTCATTTCCATAGAATCCATGATGACCATGCACATAAGCAAACTGGACATCAAATCCCCTATTTCTAAGCAAACTAATAGCTAAGAGAGTTTTGATTACTAATTTGTCGCTGCTAGTAATACTGTTTAAAAAGTGAAGAGAAGAAAGAGAATCGGAACATATAAAGTACCTTGAGGATATCTTCCAATTATACATGATCCACTTGACAACAAGATAAATACAGAGGAGTTCTGTTTAAAAAATTGTGCATTCATTTTGAACACTGTGCTTAAAATAGAAAACTTCAGATTGATCTTTAAAAAGAACAAATGCTAGACCAAACTTATTGTTCAATTTATTGCCATCTGTAAAGCAAACTATATGAAAAAAATTGTTGTCTCTTTATAATCGCAGAAATTTATGGGCTACTATTTAGGTAGCTGGATGTGGAATATTGGGGAAGGGAACATTTCCATTTGAATAGAACATTGAATAGGAAAACTCTATATTTAAGAAATAATTTGTATATAAGTATATATATATATGAATCTATAATAATGTATATTCATTACATTATGTAAACAAAATAAGCTAAGTAGGATGCTGCCATCTTTTTTAGAATCATGTTATTTGGCTTAATCCAGTTTCCTTCTTTACAGTTCTTTTTTTTATTTTTTCACCATAAAGCATGTTTCAGTTTATGGAATATTTGGGTTATATTTGTATTTTTAGTAATAAGATCACTGCATTGATTTTATCATAGCATTTTATATGTTTTTTAAAAAATTATTTTATTTATTTTTGCTCATATTTAATTTGTGTGTATTATGTGTTTGTGTAAAAAATATATAAACCAAAATTATAATTTAAAATAACGAAAACCCCTTAATTCTCACTCTCCATTCTAAAAATCATAATAACTCCTCTGGATTGCATCATTTCTAAATTAATGTATTCCGCTAAACCTGCGTAATGCTTATGACCTAGTTATTTTGGAACTTAAACTCTAAGAACTGAAACCTTAAACCAAAACCTTTCTCTTAACAGACTACCATATTGGATAAATGTGCAGTAAGCTTGCAGCTCTGTTGGCATTTGGATGCTATTTCATTTTGCTGTGTTTTGTTATGTAACAAAACATTTTGCTGTGTTTACAAAACATTTTGCTGTGTTTGCTGTGTTAACAAAACGTTTTGCTGTGCAGCATTTTGCTGTGTTTAAATCAAATTCCTCGTCATTATAATTCACTTCCAATAGCGAAGAACGTGACACAGAGGTTATTGAAAACGAAAACATTTCGATTGACAAATTAGTCGGTATTCTCAACACAGCAATTATAGGACTTGAACAGCGGACCTTTGTAACTGAACAAGAAATTGTGTCTGTTTATAGAATTAAAGAGAAAGTATTATCACATAAAAACGAAAGCAACATAAACAATTACATGAAAGAATGTTTTAATAAAGTAAACAAATAAATATTAAGCTTTTTTTTGTAAATTTTGATACCCTTTAGATTATAATTGTTCTTTATTTCATAAATTACGGTTTCATATTTTTAATTTTATAATTTCTGCATGCCATCTTACCAGATTTAAACTGATGATCTATAATCTGGAAAAATCAATAATCCGGAATCGCTGAAGTCCCGACGAGTCCGGATTAACGACTTTTGACTGTAAATAATATAAATAATGATGCACCTGGTTAGCAATAGGGAATTAAATTATTCAATAGGTGTATTTTCAATGATGTAATCAGGACTTTTCAGATGTTTTATTATGAAGTATCAAATGTACATTTGTAAAATCTGTTCGCCCTCCAAAAAATTATTGGTGGGGTACGGAGGTTTGGATATTGGATGTCTGGATTTCAGACTTTGTACTGTAATTGCTTTCATTTATCCAGTTTCTACTTATTTATATATCCTTGAAATCGTTTTGGATTTTTCATTGATTGTCCTTAAAAGTACATAATTTCTGTGTACATAAATGTGTACAAACAATGATTATAGGCTGTTCCTTTTTAATTTTATATATAATAATTCAATTACAGGTATGATTTTAATGTAATTCTGATATAGCCAAATTGTTATGCTGTTATGTCTGTTATGCTGTTAACTATGCCATTATTTAGAATGTGATACTCTATATAAAATTGTGGTGTGAATATTGTGCTCGTGATCATGTGCAATGAAAAATACAGTTTCGATAATTAGTTTGTGTCCAGCAATAAAGATTTTGCTCAGTTTGTCTATGTTTGTCTACAAGTGTATCCTTCGAGTGTCATCTTTCTAATTATGTAGTAAAATCTCTCCAAGTTATAATGCAGAGAATCATCATCAGTCTCTTGCTGCTTACTCCAAAATTTTTATCACAGATATATATTTTTTCTGCCATGCAAGTATAAAACTTAAAAAACAACACTGTTTTAAGGGTTATAAGCTCAAAATTAAGTAAAAAATCATATGATGATTTTCATAATAGTTCATTGGCAGTTTTGGCCTGCGTGTTAAAATTCTGAAATCTTGGCAATGAATAGGAATAATATAACACAGAAGTTTAGGAATTTTGTTTGAATTTCTTAACAGTGAGATGATCATTGCAGGTGTTCAGTGAATTTGAATTTATATTACAGACAAATTGATACTAATGAATGATAGATGACTTTATAGTGAGATGAAAGCTGAATGAAGGGCATAGATTGAGGATTAATTCCAGTTGTGAATATAGGCAGCTTACAGAATAGCAGGTGCATTTATCTAAAAGTGTGACGATTGTCATTTATGAGCAATAATGTTGTGCAAGTTCATTATAATTATAAAATCAAAGAGAGATGCAGAGCTACAGACATTATTGAGAAGTTGCTTAGAGCCAGATATGATAACTTAACAAATACACTTTGTTTCAAAAAAATATATGCACCCAGAAAAAATTAAGCCACAACTGTGGAATGCAGCATGTAGATATGATTTGGTGAGTTGTATAAGTGATTAAACTTGCAGCATCAATTCGCATTGTGGAGCAATACAATGCGTATTTGAAGTATATAGCTGGTAGAATGTAAAACAGCAGGTACAGTGAGTGATGGGCATTTACAACTACGTTGGCAACTTGGATACATGACATTGTAACAAATGATGCCTTTAAGACAGACATATTTAATGGCATTGCAAACAGTTGTTAAGACTTCAAGAGGGGTCGCATCATAGGGTTAAAAGAGGCTGATTGGTCGAACAGGTGGATTGATTAGCATATTGGTCAAAGCAATATGGTTGTTGTCCGTTGTTGTAATCAGTGGCTCAGCGAAGGTATAGTCAGCCACCATACTCAGGACATTCCTGAGCCACCAATGCATCGATCATGCAGTTAGAAGGGCTGCCACTTCTGCACCAACAATTATTCTCTCATCAATTCAACGCCTTTGGCAGGCATCCAGGAATACAATTCCCAGAAGACTAGGTGACACTGAGCTCAGATCTCAACATTCATTAAAACGTTTGCCCTTACCACTTCACCATAGGCTATGTCGTCTTACATGGTGCTGCTCTCACTCAAGCTGGACAGTGTTTGTTTGGAGAAATGTGACCATCAGCTGCGAATCATGCTTTTTTTCTTGATGCTGATGACCGCTGCATATGTGTCTGGAGTAAGTGGTCCAATGTACCATTTGTTACCGAGCGGCACACAGCCAGAACACAGGGTGTGACAGTCTGGTGAGCAATCAGCTGGGACAGCTGTTCACCATTAGTCATGTTGCAAGGTACACTGACGACATTTTGCAGCCAATTGCACTACCTATGATAACAGATTTTCCAGTAGGACAACGCTGGACCACATACAGCACGACTTGCAACAAAACCTCGATGTGTTTATGACCTCGCCTAGCTTGCCAGGTCTCTAGACCTGTTTTCTATTGAACATGTTTAGGACATGTTGGGCAGGCAAATTCAGTCATACACAAATACATCCCAACTCACTGACCAATTGCTGCATTTGTAACATAATCTACCACAGGGGGACATTGGCAAATTAATAGACTCCATGCTTAACTGAGTGTCAGCTTCTATAGTTGTCAGGGGTGGCTTTACCACCTACTGATTTTCACATTCTTTGATTTCTATTCATAAATAAAATACTTCCCCCCCCCAGTTTTTGATCATTTGTTTGCCTACTTGGAACACTATACTGCTGTCGATTTCGTAGTTATTGTTCAATTCTTTTTAGGTGCATATATTTATTTGCAAAAGAGTGTTGTACCGCATTCAGGATTTTAGAGTAGCAGATCTCCTTATGTTGCACCGTGGGCAAAGAATATATGTTGTTAAGAAAGAAAACTTCGCAGCAGCAGGAGTGCCTCCCTTCCAACGGAAAGGGAAACAGCTGCGCGTGTGTGAAATATCTGTCGCCAAAAAGCGCCAAAGCTTGGAGCTGATGTTGAAGTTTGAACAGGTTCGACAGTCACGATTATCAAGCGTTTAAAGCTGTGTGGCTCCACTTCCCCTCCCCCTCTATATTGACGGATATAAAATCAGACATCAAACTGCAATATGGATAATGCAGGTTCAACAGCCAGTGAAAGTGAAACTTCACCTAATTTTCTTATTTACCATAACTCGTGTTCCTCAATTTCCTGTACACGTTGCGAAGGAGGAAAATCTCAGCCAGGTCCGGTACATGACAGAATGGGGAAATTCTTGCCAACGGGTTCCGTTACCAAATCCCTTGCCGAATTTTCCCTCTTCTTTCTAGCAGCGTAGAAAACAGACTGGTTTACATTACATCTATATGGAGCCTTTCCTTCTTTACATAGACATTCTTTGTCGTGGGTATGAGTAAATCCTCTATAGCTTCTGTCAGTATCTTGTAGCTATTTATAATCATGAATGCTTCTAAGAGAGTTTTCAGGAGTAAGGGGAAAACCAATCTCCAAATTATGTTTTGGAATGCTGGTAACCTCACTCATGATAGACTTCTTATTTACAAGATCCTCTGATATCCTGGAAATTCTTCATTTCTATCTTGGATTGCGTGGCATCTCATGTTTGAAAGAACTATAATACCATATAACGTTTGTGTGTGTGTGTTTATGCATCTGTTTGCCCACCCACCCACCTGTCTGTCTGTAAATTTTTTTTAGATATGAAAGAAGCCCTCATTCAAAGTATATGTGAAGTACAAATCATATACCACCATGCTAAACGTTCATATTCCTTCACTGAAGACCTTCTCCATTACAGTATGGATACTTCATCCATTATTTTTATTTAGTAAATATGTTTATTTAGTCTTAAATATTATTTTATTTAGTCCATTATGTTTATTATTTGGAAGATGAAGATAATTTATGAGTATCACTGCATCCAATGCATAACCACTTTTGAATAAAGTGCATTTGTAAATTATCTGTGCATTATTGCGCTGTTTATCTTATCACTCCAATACCATGTCAGGTTCTTTGTGTATAAATTTCCTTATTATTCAGATTAAAACTTGGTGAAAATTTGATTGCTCTAAGTTTTGTATGCACATACGTGAGTAATTATAAAAATCAACTCTGCATGACAGATACTAATTTATATTGCTGTATTCCAAATATGAAATCTGTTGTATAAAGTTGTTTTAGAATAGATTTTAAATTTTTGGATGCTGAAGTAATGCTATTGCTGTATGATTTAAAAAATACTACATTTTCATTACATTAAACTTTTTTTTTTTTTTTTTTTTTTTAAAGTTTCCTGAATTACTATGTGCATCATATAACCAAAATGATGATTCACCCCATCAGCCAGATGGAATATGTTTAATTTGGAATATGAAATTCAAGAAAAATACTCCTGAATACATATTCCATTGCCAGGTATATAATTTTCATAATCAGTGTATATATATATATATATATATTTGTTTTAATAATATTTTCCCCTTCTTTGAACTGCTGAATATTTTGTATGCTTATGAATGGAATGTGTGCATTTAATTAGAAAGAAAAATTATAATCTACAGAGGGAAACGATTTAAAATTGTCATATAAATTGACAGATAAATATCTCAAGATTCTTTTATTATATGTAGAGATTAAAAGGTCTGGCAGGTAAAGAGTTAATTGCACTATTGAACTAGTATCTGAAAAAGTAGGCAATGCTATAATATATTTTCTGGAAGATTCATGTATAGGACAAATTATTGCATTAATTGACAGTTCTTTGGTATTATGAATTCCTCTGCATTATATGCTGGTAAAGTATACCATAGTGTATAGAATTTAATTATTTTACATTACATTTTTGTGTAATTTAATTATTTTGCATTTTTGTGCATTAAAAGTGCTACTAAATGATAATACATAAACATGTAAATTTAGTATTGAATAACTGAATGCAGCTGAGCTGAATAATAATAATTATGCTTGGTTCAGAGTTCAATGCTGAATAGTAGGCCTACTTTTAAATCAAAATGTAATTAATTAAAAGAAGAAGGTTTTATTTAATTAAAAAATTTGTTAAATTTGTTTCAGCATAATTTGTGATTTGTCCTATATTTAATGGTTTTACATGTAGAAAATATTTTGTTTCCTACAGTCACCTGTTACATCTGCTTGTTTTGCAAAGTATCACCCAAATCTAGTCGTAGGGGGAACATATTCTGGTCAGATTGTTTTATGGGACAACAGGAGCAACAAACGAACACCTGTCCAGCGAAGCCCATTGTCTGCAATAGCTCATACTGTAAGGAATGTGTAAATGGATTTTTATATATCTGTGTTCATTTATTCTTATAGTTTGGGCTCTTTTAAAAAAAAATTTAAATTGTGTAAATATTATGAAATATAATCTTTTATGCATTTTCCACAGTTCTTGTAGTAAGTATTTAATAAGAATTGTTTATTAATTCTGAAAAATGAAACGCAAAATGTTTAACTACCATTGTTGAAAGCTAACTGGGATATTAAGTTCTAAAGTCTGATGTCATGTTTCTTGAAAAATTTAAGAATCACATGCAAATCGAAGAGCGAAGTATTTAACTTCATATATAACTAAAAATAAAATACTGTGCAAAGTCTGAGATCCGGACGTCCAATACCTGGAATGATCTAATATCCGAACCTTAAAGCCAACAACAGCTTTCTCTTTTTTTTTTTTTAAGGAATTTTTTTTTATGTGTGTTTTATGCATGTGCATTTGATTCCCCCCCCCTCATAATAAATTATGTGGAAAGTCAGATTCCTAATTTCACTTCGGTACTAAATAAAATATCTCGTTACTGAAGAAACAATCATTTTAGCATAAATTTATGTCATCAGTAATTTGGATCCGTAGCTGCTTGGTCTCAAACCGAAACATTCTACAAAGAAACATCGATGATTTTACTCATATTTTATATCCCTGATGCCAACCTGGCAAATCATTATTTATTATATTTTGCTTTCATCACCACATGTTTATCATGCAGCGATGCCTAAACATTTTTTTTTTTTTTTTTCTTAATATTAGTAACTGAATAATACAGAGTATGGTAACTTTTTATGTTGACAATTCAATGTGGTAATGATTGCATATTAAACTTAAATGCATTAAGAAATGCTGAGGAGGAAAAATTTAACAATTTTTTTTTTTTCCGTATGCTTAAATAGATTATGCTAATGATACTCATAGGCTAAAAAATTACATTTAGTAAGAATAACTGATTTGCTATTCACATAAACCCAGAACCGGCGGCACAGTTCGTATGGCCACACCGGTCGACAGAATTTAGGGAAGACATTTTATTTATTAATTTTTTTTAGAATTTAGAGAAGTACTGAGCAACAAAATTAAAGGATGACAAAATTTTTAGAATTTAGGGAAAGCACTGGGACCTAGAATTTTGACTGCCAAAAATTCAGAACTCAGGGAGGCACATAGAAGAATTTAGGACCCCCACAGACTGCATCAGGCAGTAAGTTATCTAGCGCTGGCCCGCAATAAGTATATGTGGGAATTTATTTATTTAGAACTCAGATAAGCTTTAAGCATGTGCAAGTAAACATAAATATAATAAATAACTAATACAATTCAAGCTTAATTGTCACAGTGTGCCATCGACGGCCGGCGCATCTAGCAATAAGATACTTAGCGTTGGCCCTCGATAAGCCTTAAGTATGTGGGAATTTATTTATTCAGGACTCAGATAAGCCTTAAGCATGTGCAAGAAATAGACATAATTATAATAAATAATACAGTTCAGGCTTATCTTTTGTCACCAATCTCATGATACATAGCCAATAATGTATAGCTGGGCTAAAATTATACTTTACTGATTCCAAGGAATTTCAATTAATATATCAGATTGCTCTATTCCTTAACTTTCTGATTTAATCCAGAAGTTTGAACTTTTGACTATGTTAAAGAAATTTTGTTTCTGGAGCTGCAATAGAATCTGCAAAGTGAAAGCATGCTTCGATCTTCATTAAACAAAAAGTGGAATTGCTGACACAAATGGATAAAGGTATATCCATCTCAAAATTATGTGAGGAGTATGGCATTGGAAAGCGAACTGTACATGGCATAACAGAGAAAGGAACATTACAATGAATAACTGAAAAATTATTCGTTACCTAAATGTAACAATCATGACAAAGAGATTATTGAATGGTTCAGAAAGTGTCGCAGCGAGGGCGTGCCATTGACGGGTTCAGTGCTAGTGGATCAAGCCAAAACACACTACTTGACATGGAAAATGCAACACAAAGAAGGAGTGGTTAGAAAATGATGAAATTTGGAAAAAAGACAGAAAGCAGCAATAAGTGATCTTTATTTCAAAATGATAGTCAGAATACAGAGCAAGAATGGCGTTGGCTCAGTAGGATGTAGGACCACCGCAGACAGCGATGCACGAAGATACACGTCTAGGCATAGAGTCAATAAGATTGCGGGTGGTGTCCTGAGGGATGGGTCTCCATTCCTTTTCAACCATTTGCCACAGTTTGTCTTCTGAACAAGGCAGGGGCAGATTCTGCAAACAGCATCCAATCACATCCCACATGTGTTCGATTGGTGACAGGTCAGGAGAGTGCGGTGGCCAGGGAAGCATCTGTATACCTTGCAGACCATGTTGGCAGATGCGAGCACTGTGTGGTCAGGCATTATACTGCTGAAAAATTGCATTAGGCAGCCCATGAAGGTAGGGGATTGCCACCGGCTGCAGTACATTTTCCAAGTATCGTTGGGCCGTCATAGTGCCCTGAATACAATCTAGAGGTGATCTGGAATCGTAGGCAATAGCGCCCCAAACCATTATGCCATGTCGTCGCGCTGTGGGACGTTCCACAGTTATTGCTGGATTAGATTTGTCTCCATGTCGACGCCACACACTTATGCGGTGACTGTCACTGGATAAACAGAAGCGTGACTCATCTGAGAACGCAATGTTTCGCCATTCTGTCAACCACATCACACCAGTCCGGCACCATTCTAAATGTTGCCGTCTATGCTATCGGGTCAATGGCAGTCTTCTTAATGGACCCCGTGAGTGCAGGCCACATTCAACCAATTGATGGGAAATGGTTTTGGTTGACACAGGAACATCCAGAGTATCTTGCACATGCTGCAGAATCGCAGTACAATTGATTTGTGGGACCACCACAGCTGTCAGCGGATGTGTCGATTTACGGGTGCTGACGTCACTCTGGCTGCACCTGTACCTCTCCTTCTTCCCACATTTCCTTGTTCCAACCATGTTCGCCATAGCCGATGCACCGTGCTGACATCCATGTGGGTATCAGCTGCGATTTGACGTAAAGACCAACCCGCCCTTCTCAGTCTGATCACCATACCCCTCGTAAAATCGTCTATCTGCTGGAAGTGCCTTCGTTGATGGCAGCCCTGGCATTCCTCTCCTTATTTACACGTATCCTCTGGGGCAAAAAACCAAGTTTCTTCGATAATTCGTCTCGCAGAAATAACGACACGAATATTGCCCACTCTGCACGTTCCTTCCCTTATATCTTACTTCACGTGCGTCAGAGAGCTGCGCATTTCACATCATTCGCATAACTCAGTGACGTGCGTCTACTCTAAAATTTGCATAAATTTCTAACCACTCCTTCTTGGTGTTGCATTTTCAATGTCGAGCAGTGTATTTCATGAAGAAATGAACTTAGAAACTGAGTTTGCATATTCAGCAGGTTAGTTAACCAAATTAAAAAATCATCATGCGATACTGAAGGCGATACTGATGGTGCTGAAAGTAGTGAAAAGTCATCTCCAGAACGAATTTACAACTCTGATGAAACTAGTCTTTTCTGGAATATGTACTGCAAAATACCTTGGCGACCTCTTCAAAAAAGGCTCCAACTGATGCCGAACATTCCAAAGCAAAGCTAACAATTTTAGCATGCACAAATTCTGCAAAAAACGCACAGTGTCCCCTTTTCGTAATCAGAAAAAAATACACAAACTTGAGCATTTAAAGGAGTAAAGATTTCGCCTGTTATATATCATGCAAATAAAAGAACATGGGTGACCCAATGTTAATGAATGATTTTTTTTTTTTTTTTTTTTTTTTTTCTTTAACATCATTTCTTACAGAAGGCTTGGGAACATTTGAATTCGGTTGTTTTACCTGACGATGCAAAACTTGTCCTGATTGTAGATGACTGTTCAGCTCGTACTTCACTTGAAATTTTAGTGAAAGATGATGTACCTGTATTAGACTTTCCTCTAAACTTTATGTCCATAATTCAGGCTATGAATATTGGAATAGTACCCATGCTGAAATGCAAATATTTAATTAGCATTTTTAAAATCCATATTACAATTCTTGAATAATATGAAGCCTATTCAAGAATGTTTTGGATGATGAAGATGATAGACGCAAATACGAAGATTTTCAGAAGGTAAAATTTTCCAATTAATGCATTTTGTAAAGAAATATGGAGAAGCGATAATAAATGAAGACGATTTAATAGAAGTTTTTCATCATGATGACAATGCCCCAATCATCAATCAAATAATTCGGCGCATATAATCATTAAGGTTTTGCACCAGGAAACCTACTACTACTCAATCAAGTAATAGGCTGTGAAATCTGTAGTATGGTTCTAGATCCAGAAAATACCGCCACTGTTAGTGAAGAAAGTGACAGAGAGGTTATTCAAAGCAAATAAATTTTGATTGGCAATTTAGTCAGAATTCTTGGCACAGCAATTACAGGACTTAAGTAATAGAACTTTGTAACTGAACAAGAAATTATGTTTGTCTATAGAATTAAAGAGAAAGTATTAGCACAAAAATTGAAGCCACTTAAACAGCTTACATTGAAAGAAATTTTTAATGAAGTAAACGAATAAATATTAAGATTTTTTTTGTGAATTTTGATAACTTTTAGATCATAAATGCTTCATTATTTCATAAATCTGGATTTCATATTTTTACAGGGTTCGTAGTGGTCCTTATATTTGAAAATAAAATATAAAGGCCCTTTTAGGTGCTTACTTTTTCTTTAAAGCCCTTATTTTTTGTTTTTAGTGCTTATTTTTTGCTTTTAGTGCTTTTTTTTTTTAATGAACGCGCTATTTTTCCCCGTACCAAAGCCGAAACTAAATAAACAACTTTTCTTCCTAATATGGAATGTCAGATGGTGAATCATACTCCCGGAAATAGTTTTTTCCCCCTTTCTCTGCATTAACATAACCTTTGGTATGCACGAAGAGTACAGACAGGTGCCGTCGTTCTATTGGTCAAAGAAT